AGGCCAAGATGGGCCCAGGTATCGTATAGCTGCTCATCTCCCTGGAAATGGAACTGATCTGCCTAGTAACTCCTTTACCGGCTGCAATACTGATGTATTCTACGCCCAGATAGACTACAAGGGTCACACCTGTCATGTGGATGTATGGGTGCTATCGCAACAGGATAAATGGTCTGCTGATTTCAACCAGAAGTGCAAGTGTCCAGATTCGGTGCCTTTCCCTAGAGTCTGCCGTTGGCCTAATGCTTGCAATACAGTGTCCGACTTGGTACCATCTACATGGTCAACTCAAAGAGGTGGTAGCTTTACAGCCCAAGTTATGGTCCCCAACAAACCAATAAATGTCCTTCTTAATGAGTATGGTAATACCGGTTTCTACAACATGAAGCGTATCCCCCTCAATCACAATTTTAGGAATTTTACTTTGGTCATTGGCAATGCTGTAGATGCCCTGCATATTACTACCTTCCCTCCTATACTCTGGGATGAACCCGGAAACCCTTTCTTTCGATCAATCTTCGGTAGTGCAATTCGTGAAAGAGCCTTTATAGAGATATGTATTGGCGTATTATCCAGCTCAACACTAGTCTTATGCTGCGTGATGGCTTATTGCATCATCAAACGCAATAGGGATCATCATGTAGCGTATACCAGTCTAGAAGTAGAACCATCGGTTCCAGCTGTAGTTCATGGGGCCGAAGGTACTCTTGTTTAGTCATCTGCTTATATGATTTGTGATAATCAATTATATTTCGTTTGCCGACTGAAGTTTTGCATTGGTCACATAAAAACGGTCGTACCAATTACATTTAACTCGGGAAAGTGTTGGAATGGTAAAGGTCGGGGAGCGCTGTGCGTAGAATCTTCCTTGGATCTGGGAACGATCATCATCATGCTATGGTCAGACGCACTCTGAATGATCGAACTCGGCAATAGTAGAATAGGAGTTAATCAGAAGCTCTTGCCGCCCTCTATAGTAACTTCTATTATCACGGCGATATCTTAAGGTGAGTCCACGGAATTAAGGACGCCTGACGGTAACTGATACCACTCCGCCTTTAAAGTCTACCACTACACTGTTGGAGCTGGTCCTACAAGGCGGGTCGAGGCGGACGGCGGGATGAAGCACCCCAATATCTGATACTCAAGAGCTCATCTCTGGCGAGCTAGGTTTACGAACTTGGAGTGCTGGTCGGGCTGAGAATAGATGCAAATCATCTTGTGACCATGAGTAGTGACTGGTATAACTAGTGTTGGGCGTGGACCTCCTGAACCCGAATGGTTCGGATAGTCACAAGAGGACATCGTCTACCTGAATCTTGCTTACTTAGTTACTCTTGAGTTTCCTTAACGGTAGTGTGTTGGCGTCGCATCGGCCAAGATTCCGGAAAAGTTGAGTTAGTTCACAACTAAGTTCGAACATGAGACAGCAAAAGTCAGTGGATAGAACGATTCGGCATACTGGTCTGCAACTAGGTTGGCCATTGCATCGGCCAAGGTTCCGGAACAGTTGAGTTAGTGCACAACTAAGCTCGAACATGTATTTTTGAGACAGCAAAGTCAGTGGATAGAACGATTCGGCACACTGGTCTGAAGCTAGCTTGACCATTGCATCGGCCAAGATTCCGGAAAAGTTTAGTTAGTTCACAACTAAGTTCGAACATGTATTTTTGAGACAGCAAAACTTAGTGGATAGAACGATTCGGCACACTGGTGTGAAACTAGCTTGATCATTGCATCGGCCAAGGTTCCGGAACAGTTGAATTAGTGCACAACTAAGTTCGAACATGTATTTTTGAGACAGCGAAGGTCAGTGGATAGAACGACTCGGCACACTGGTCTGAAAGTAGCTTGACCATTGCGTCGGCCAAGGTTCCGGAACAGTTGAGTTAGTGCACAACCATGTTCGAACATGTATTTTTGAGACAGCAAGATTCAGTGGATAGAACGATTCGGCACACTGGTCTCAAACTAGCTTGACCATTGCATCGGCCAAGGTTCCGGAACAGTTGAGTTAGTGCACAACTAAGTTCGAACATGTATTTTTGAGACAGCAAAGTCAGTGGATAGAACGATTCGGCACACTGGTCTGAAACTAGCTTGACCATTGCATCGGCCAAGGCTCCGGAACAGTTGAGTTAGTTCACAACTAAGTTCGAACATGTATTTTTGAGACAGCAAAAGTCAGTGGATAGAACGATTCGGCACACTGGTGTGAAACTAGCTTGACCATCGCATCGGCCAAGATTCCGGAAAAGTTGAGTTAGTTCACAACTAAGTTCGAACATGTATATTTGAGACAGCAAAAGTCAGTGGATAGAACGATTCGGCACACTGGTCTGAAACTAGCTTGATCATTGCCTTGGCCAAGGTTCCGGAACAGTTAAGTCAGTGCACAACTAAGTTCAAACATGTATTTTCGAGACAGCGAAAGTCAGTGGAAAGAACGATTCGGCACATTGGTCTGAAACTAGCTTGATCATTGCATCGGCCAAGGTTCCGGAACAGTTGAGTTAGTGCACAACTAAGTTCGAACATGTATTTTTGAGACAGCGAAAGCCAGTGGAAAGAACGAATCGGCACACTGGTCTGCAACTGGGTTGACCATTGCATCGGTCAAGGTTCCGGCCACTGGCCTCTAAGGGACCGTCTCTCGTCTGGCCAAAGTTTGGTAGGTTGAGTCAACTTACCTACCGGCAGCATTGGTTGACTTTTGTGTCATGTCATAGTCAACAGACCCGACCATTTTGTAAGACTAAAGCTCAAAAAACCCGAAAAACTGAATTCTTTTCAATTCTTTTCAATTCTTTCTAGAAACAATCGAACTAATATTTCTTCGTATTCTTTTCGAAAAGAAATACATAGAAAGAAATAAAAAGAAATAATTAGGGAGAACCCTGGTTCGAAGTATAGTGATCTGCATGGTGAATGATATAGTGTTGGGTTTTGCAGCTCAAAAAAACTTGGAAGGTAAATCAAAATGTAGCTCACAAAACGAGAGTCGAGTTTGTCCAATGAGACATGGACTTGATACAGATCCGCCTGGCCCGCTGAACCCTCTTCGTTAGCTTGCTTCCCTTCGGGTTTTTGGTTCATCTGTTTCTCTTCGGGTTTCTGGCTCATCTGTTTCCCTTCGGTTTTTGGTTCACTTGTTTCCCTTCGGTCTCTAACGCCGTTGAAACGAAGTCGCGCTATATATCGACTATCAGGGCGCGCGCTGAAATTTAGTGATTTAGGACACAAAGTTTAGTGACAGTGTTTGGACGCGCCAGAGGACATCGTCTACCTGAATCTTGCTTACTTAGTTATTCTTGTATTTCCCTAACGGTAATGTGTTGGCGTCGCGGGTCCATTGAATGACACAAGTCATAGTGGAGATGCTCCCTAGGTTTATCGCTATAGGAGTTGCCGTTCTTGTGTGACAGACTATGATGAAGACTGACTCCAATACCCCTTTTTTGTTGGGATGATCTCTCCCCGATCGCTTTGCATCCTCCCTGATAAATTTGGTGAGTAGAAGGTCACCCTTGGTCGATGGACACCACTACATAGTTCCGAACCGGCGGCGGCCAAATGCACAGAACGAGGCCAACAGAGCGGGTCTGGAGCTAAACATCATACCCTGTTTGTCTTAGCACCCCATTTCGATGTGTATTGATTATTTTCATTGGTGTGGTACTTCGGAACTTGTCGAAGCATTGTCTCCATCTTGAACCACAATGATAGAATCCTCCACCACTCACAAACGTGATTACAACAAGTATTGTCATTGCTGTATCATTGTGCAGTTTCGGGTTATTATTATTATTATGAGTTCGCCTAAGACAACGGAACCAACTCTGCCCATCCATCACGATTCTGAAGTTGCTGATTATGATGATGGGGATGTTACTAGGAGAAATGAGGAGGAGGCGGCCGCAGCGACTGGCACTGAGGCCCAATTCGAAGGTAAGCCATAATTGTTTGTATTGTCATCACTTCACTGCGTATCCCCTTGTAGTTACTGTATCACCTATGGAGTTCAACAAGCTGTTCAGATCAGGATCAATGACGATGTAGAAGTGTACACTATTTCTACCAAGTCCTTATAATATGTTTTTCAGTGAGGATCAAGGCGTTACAGTGAGTGTAACAGACCCACAGACTAAGCGTGCTGGGCCTGCGGGTATACATAAGATTACTACCTATGCTGTCACTGTGAGCCATATATTCATCCTGTCTTGTTGTTGCAGATGTCGATACTTCAGGTAACTGGTGCCTCTGGTGTCAGTAGTAATACTCGGAAGAGGTATACGGACTTCACAGTTCTCCGGGAAGAACTGGTAATAACTAAGTCAACAGTCGTGATATCGGCAGGAATAACACTCCGTTATTGTGTCATTAGGTCCGGTCGCTTCCGGGTATGTTTGTACCTCCGTTGGCCAGTAAGAGCCAATTCCATGTCCTATTGAAGCAGCCAACCACTGCCGTTATGAACCAGATTAAGCCTACTGATCGTGTTATTGAGGCCAGAAGGCAGTCTCTCGAGGAGTTTCTCACCAGGTAATGTTCTGCTCGTCATTGTTGATATAAGCATGCTTACAGATGCTGTGCCCGTCCATGGCTTCGCAACTCCCCTATTATGGCGGCCTTTCTCTCGACACAAGAGAATACATATGAGACAGCGAAGAAGGTATTCCAGTTCCATATGTTGCTGACTACACAGATGCTGGCATTGTGTGTCAGGAATTCGCTAGTAAATCCATGGAAAGTTTGATAGAGGACTTCAATCGTGCTATATACGATAGGGAGGTCCCTGAGTAATAGGAGCACCCTAAGGGTTTGGGAGTAGTTAACTGCTCGAACCTTAGATTCCAAGCGGGCTTACAACGTGATGTCAGTGCTGCTGTTGAAGGAGGAGAGGATGATCATCAGAAGCAGCAGCAGGAGGATGGCAGTGGTAGCAAAGAGAATGAGTAGGCAGGGCTCCTAGAGGTGGGGTTATGTAGCGAGGTTCTTTTAGGAAACCATCAGACGAGGGTGAGAATGGAGAGGAACCAGAAGAGGGTACTCCAGCAGAGAGCAGTGGAAGTCAGATTGACGTGAAGCCGTTGTTGACCACTGCCAAGACTTATCTAGGAGATCATAAGTCAGCATTAAAGAAGTTACTCTCTCAACTGAGTACCTCTGCAGAGAGCTTTAATAAGGCGACTACTGCTTTGGGTCTATGCCATTATAAACTACAAGATATGAATACTATCGCTACTCAGGGCGCAGGCCATGCCTTGTGTGCGGCCGAGAATGAGAAGGATATTGTTAGGGTCAACTTGGCTGATGCATTCTATGAGCAGAAGAATATATTATCAACTCCAGCGCAGGCATTCCACTTGGAGTTATTAGCATCTGTTATACAAAGAGAGGTTATAGATTGTTCAGCTATGATGGAGTCGTTGGATAAGGTGGTGGAGCTTGGTGATTCACGTGATAAACTGAATGATAAGATACGTCAGAAGAAGGGTGGTAGTAGTAGTAAGAAGGGTGGCATGAGCAGTATGTTGAAGCACCCTGTGAAGAGCGTCGAAGGTACCTTTAAGACCGCTACTGCAGCTGTTGGAGGTAGCGAATCTATGCAGAAGTTGTGTGACCAGAGGGATATGGTTGAGGCATACTACTGGCGTACTGGCTATAATGCTACCATCATTGAGATGAAGAATTTTATGCACAGCAAGACGGCAGTGTACAATGAGGTGGCAAAGGAGTTTGTTAAAAGGACTACTGAGACCCATAAACAATTAGCTGAGCTTTGGGGTAAGGTTGCAGCCCTGAATGAGGGAGAACAAGCTGCTGTTGGTCAACCATCGGATGGTAATGAGTGAATGATAAGGACTAGCCAGTCGTTGTAGAGGGATATCATCATTGTCATCATTCATGAGATTTGCTCAATTAAACTCAGAATGTCTGGCTATCATTGCCATTTTAGCAGTTCTCGCTGTTATAAGGATTGTTATTATATATGATGATTATTGGGGGTTCCTACAACTATTCAAAGGATATAGAGTCACCACCTCTGCGGTATCGACCTTTCATAGTGTTTCGAGTAGTTGTGTTTGGTATGTAAGTGCTGTGATGGGGGCTTTGAGAGGATGCTCTATAGCGGTGTAAGCCTCATCATGGCCCGTATGAACCCCTCTCTAGAGACAACGAGTACCCTACCGTCATTCATCCTCTTCTTAATACTGGGAGCAGCCATTACGATGGTCACAATATATGCGTATGGATGATGCTCAGGGTGATCGATGATGTGGCAGAGGGAGCTCAGGTACAGAGAGTATCAGAGAAGGATGTCGATACGGCGACTAAGCCGATTAAGGGAGGACGTGATGCAAGAAGTTAGAGCACACCTAGTAGATGATGACGATCATAACCACTTCGTGTCAAGTAGAATCTCAACTACAGGCGCCTCATCGCAGGAGATAGAGTTGTTACGGCGAGATGAAGGTGGATGGACTACAGCGTCCTAGGGATGTTAGTATAGTGATCAGGTCATGATGCTCTACATGGTCCGAACCAGTTTGGGGGAAGCTCTATGCGGTTTTAGATGTTAGTGTTATCATTATCGTCACTATTGTGTACTATTTGAAGTTCCTTTGACAAGCCAGTGTTGTTGTCTTCATTTCATGTGGAAGGAGAGCGCCATCCTTATGTCTTTTTATAGCGGTCTCGATGGTGTAATGAGCGCTTCCTTCCGTGGTCTACTACGGGTATCCTCATCATGCCTCGCTGGTAGAGTTCCCCGAGAGTAGCCCCGGCCCAAGGAGGGATAACTCAGTTCTGGAAGGGAGACCATATCGATCTAGACCTTGCATGGGAGGATAAGGAGAAGGCTGCTAATGCTTGGTCCCTATGCTTGCTTCGGTTGTAGTTAGTCTCAAGGAAAAGAACGTACTCATGTCCGGCTCGAGTGGAGTTAGCACGATCGCCTTTAGAAGATAGTGCTTGTAGAATGGGACGAAGAAATGATAGGGGGGATGAATCGGATGACTGCGAAGAGGAGGATCCTCCGGGTATTATCTAGGAGCCAAGGTGATAACGTGGGACCGGGGGTAAGCTTGTGGATGGGGTGCCGGTGTTAGGCATAAGTAATGGTTCGTAGAGGAATTAGATAATAGAGGCTACCACGTTGAGGTGCGGATGCTGAAGTTGTAGTGATATAGCTGCAACCGGCACCAGACCATAGTAACAAGCGCATGGGGAAGGATGAGGCATCCCTAATGAGAAGTGCATGGGGAATTCCTCTCTAGTGGGATCACTGGTGTTGATTGCTCGTGACCCGGGTACGAACAGAACCATAGTGAGCTTCTTAGGACGTAAGGCTTTGCATAAGTGAAGTCACTATGCAGATGTTGGTACTATCCAACTGGGGTACTCTGCCAGGTATTACTGCCATTACCATCTACAGTAACAGTAGTGATGTAGAAACAGATCTACCCGGTAATCTCACTTGGAGAGGCTAATAGGTGCTAAGCGAGACTCCAGTAGGTATCATTGATTATTATCCCATGGTTATGTTCCTGTACAGGAGTAAGTCTGTTGCGTACTGTGACATGTAAGTCAGCATATTACTATCCTATTTCATCCTTGGTTAAATCGAATAACACATGACCGACGGGAGATCCTAGTATTCCCATACTGTAGTATTGCATTCAATGGTTAAGCAGCGAACGCCAACATCCAGGTCTCTCGTTTCGAGAAGGCAGTACTCGTTACCAGAGAGATGCATGGCCCTCGCTCTCAGCAGCTGATGCGAGACTGTCAAGTGAGTGCCAGCGATCCACGAAAGGGGGCATGAATCAGCAAAAAGCGGCCATATGACGATGTTTGATTTCTACTACGTATCACGTTGTTGTTGGGTTGATGGACTCCCTCTCTAAAGACAATATGGTAATCTGTGGCTTAGTGTGGAAGTATCGGTCCTTGCTCTATAGTTTCAACATTATGTTCCGCTTTTGCGCAGGATGCTTCGACCGGTCGCCCACTTCTGTCCCCCCAAGGGCTAATGAGGTTAATACCCCGTCACCACGAAGGGTTCGAACTGATTTGGTAGCGAACAGCAGCAACAGATCTGGGTGGAGGAGAAACAAGGACGTAGTGCGACAGACCGTCCACCTCAAAACCGAGATACCTCGTATCATCATTCATAGGCAGCACGACGATACTGCGGTCCCTGTGGTAACTCCATACGAAAGATTGTCCTGTGATGGTAGAGATAGCAAACCTAGCAGTAGTACTATTGAGTTCTCTTGCTCTTCTCCCTTCCCAGCTGAGGGGGTATCTAGTGAACGCTTCCCTTACCTATACAATAATGCTGGGAATGATAATGTTATGGTATCGAGTCGGTTATTCCCATACTTGTACGATGCTATCGCCGCCTACCACTCCCATGGGCGAAAAGAAGGTTACCAGGTTGTGGCTATTCCCAATTCTTCTACTTTATCACGAGCCTTTCCTTACCTCTACAGCGAGAGGGCTCTCGATGATAATACTGGGACTGTGAGTGCCGCTGCCTTCCCCTACGTCTATGATGGAGATACTCCTATTACCGAGGCTAAGAGGAATAGGAACAGAAGGTCCTTCGGAAGTAAGATCCGAATAGCTCCACAGCGATAGGCTACTATCTACGATTGTCTAGCGTTATTATATATGTCACTGCATACCCCATGAAGTCGCTGTTGCTCTCTCAGTCTGTTGCGCTCTCGTAAGTCGTCAACAGCGGGGTTAATAGATAGCACCAGCAAGGCATGCGATGACGGATTGCGGGATACTTATAGATTAGTAGATACTGCTGAACTAGAGTCGATGAGTGTGATCTATGATAACATCACAGGTAGGGAACTTGAGTTATCGGAGTGCGCCAACAATCTTGTATTTCCTAGATAGAGTTTATGATTACTATACCTCTGTCCGGTAGTGTATTGGTGCAACCGGAGGATAGCATCGGTTGAAGGTGTAGCCTGTGTGCATGCATATGATGTATGGTAGCTCGATTCCATGATGTAGTGGTATTCACATGTTAGCACCCCTCTTGTTAGTGTCCACACGCTACCGTGTCATCGTGATGCCTCTTGAAAGAGCCAAGTCATATGTCGTATTGCGTTGTAGTTGGATGATAGTGGGGATGCTCCTACTTTTCTCACGAGTCAATCGTGCTCATCACCACACTCTATCACCGAATCGGTAGCCCAGTATTGATGGTGGTAGTCCCCGACTCTGAGAGAAGTATCACTGTGCAATCGGCTACGCTTGAGGACAATCCACGGCTAAGGCTAATGAGCTGGAACGTGGCGGGTTGGATCCGAACGGCGAAGTTGATAGTGAAGTATCACGGGTCTGTTGCCAAGTACCTCATGAAGCATGATGTCGATATACTCGCCGTACAGGAATCTAAAGTGAGTAAAGCGAGAGTGTCATCTGTTGAGGCACAGCAAGCTGTCCCTATGGGTTACGAGGCCTATTGGTCGCATTCTACCTCCAAGCCTGGTTTCAATGGTGTTTGCACCTTCGTACGGGAGGGTATACCTGTGAGGGATGTCCTTAATAAACCATTCAATGATTCTAGATTTGATGATGAGGGACGCTGTCTAGTTACCTTCCACAACGATGACGTTGCCATAGTGAATGTGTATGTACCCAATGGTGGTGAGGGTGGCAAGAGGCTGCCTTACAAGATTCAGTTCTTGTATAAGCTACGAGCATTGTGCAAGGGGCTTAGAGAGAAAGGCTGGAGAGTCATCCTACTAGGGGATCTCAATATGTCACCTGACCCGAGGGATATCTGGTGGGAATACAGAATCATTGATGTTAATAGGCTGCTGGCCGATCCTCCTAAGGGTGGTAGAATCAAGGATGCTCTCTCGAGCACGAATTGGGATACAATAATGCAAGTGATGGAGACTCGTGAGATCGTGCAGATATCACCCGACCGTTATCGTGTCAAGGTGACATCCATGTCCCGGCTTCTGTCCTATTACTCTCCCTGTCAGGTGGAGGTAGGTCACTTAGAATCCTCCATTGCTGGAGTCCATGATGTTTCCTCACCTGATGAAGGAGGGAAGACTATTTTCTTGGGCTCAGCATCTAATTCAATACCGTCTCTACAGTCGTCTTTCAACTTCAATGCGGTGGTTCTGGAGGATGGGAGTGTTGTGAAGCCTAGGGGGTGTATCGAGGTCGATGAGCTCTTTGAGATCATCCGGAAGATTGTTGGTATCAACATTCCACTGACTGAACAGAGGAAGGTTGCGGACCTATGGGGCATGGGCAGAGGCAGTGAAGATATCAAACGATGGCTCAATGATATGAAGGAGGTCGATGGTATGATAGACTCATTCCGATTGGCCCATCCCAGCGCCGAGGACCGGTTCACCTGTTGGGATCAGTATAGGAATCGAAGGTGGCGTAAGGGGCTGTGAGTACAGGTGATTCGATAACATCAGGTACGCCAATGCTGGATCTAGGATTGATTACATATTAGTTGATAATACTATACCAATTGAGAAGGGTGCTCCCCTGGCTATAGGTAGGATGAGTCCTTCTGTAGTGTTAATGCTCTGGATAAGCCAGTGTAGGTTGTGATGCTGAGGCTGCATTGAGGTGTGCTACTGCTGATGGCTTACATGTGCCGGCTCCTCGATTTGGGGACGATAGAGGCATACCCGAGATGGACAGTGAGGTAGTAGGCTTCGTCCATTAGGAGTCTCCTATACACCTACAGGTAGCGCGGGAATGGGAAGTCGTCAATTGCAGTCGACCTTTTCGTACGGGTATGGTTTATACTGCGCCCGTATTTAGCGATCATATTGCGGTTACTGCTTTACTAAAAGTAGATCTTCAACGGCGTGGAGTAGCTCGGGTGGATGGTGAGTGGAATGTGCGAGGTGATGATGGTGATCATGGAATGTCCTCAGATGTGCAAGCATGTAAACGTCTACATGAAGCACAGTCTCACAAGGAGGGTAGGAGACCTCCCAAGGGGAACCAGGATATTGCCAAGTTCTTCCAAACAATGACTACGAATCAAAGGGTTAATGGCGGGAAAGAGGAGCTCTGTGTGAATGCAACTACTAAGGATAAGATATCCAAACCGACTGGGATTCGGAGGTGGTTAAAAACTGCGGATTCCAAGGGTTCCTCTACGGGGGATGATAGCAGTTCTGGAGAACCAATGAAGAAGAAACCTCGGTTGTAGCTGTAGATGATGCTGTTGTGTTCATGACACCTTTTGAGTACACTGGGTCAGAACTCAAGGATATTTTGAATGAATGATACCTTTAGTATAACACCAAATCATACTTCTCTGCTTCCTCGGCATGCTACGAGGTTACAGTGGACAAGTGACGGCTTGGTCACACAAGTGTTCCTGGACATAACATTACTAGAAGACTTGGATGACACTTACGTCTAGTTGTGATCCTTCCAGTTGATGCAGGAATGTACTCAATCGAGATAGGAATCGATCATACGCCTGATGAGAGTCAGTTGAAGCCTGTAATGAGTGACCCTGACCAATATCTCGAGATTATTGTGACCACCTCCCTCTACCCAGAAAGGTGTAACCTTATGCTTAGCTAGTTCATACAGTGCTTTACCGTGACATAATGGTACTATCTCATCATCAGTACCATGTACCTGATGATGGTATTAGTGTTGACAGCGGTGGTATTGATAATACCACATAGACCGGACAACACACGTACTCGATCTTGTCGATGTTGAGGAAGGAATCTCCAGGGAGAGTGTATCTAGGAATGAGTACATGCTGGAATCGCGACTACGAGTTGACCTGAATCTAAGGCCAACTCTGAATATACTAAGTACAGGGCTCTGTAGTATGAGGCCTCTCACAGCAGTGACAGATGCTAGATGGACCTAACAAAGAGGTGGGCGACGTGACAAGGAAGGGTCTATTACACTTGGTCCACTCCCCAGACTCCTACCGTATACAACAGTACGTTGCCATGGTACACCGATAACATCCCGTAGATATTTGAATGCCGCTTCAACATCGGAGTATCTAAGGTCAATCTCGGCTACAGTTGAAGCAACAACAGCCTACAGATGGTCCTCTGAGGGTATTGAGGGTCCCTTTGAAAGACCATACCCAGTATACCTGTGGGTAGAGGGGGGCTCGAGGAAGTGGTCATACGTAACCTCACTCATAAGCGAAGACGTTAACATTAATAGTATGAGCCATCTCCTTCCAATACCTCAACACCATACCAAGATCCTCAGCATTTCCATGCGAGAATAGCACAGTAAAGTGTGCACCACGGTTGATGTAGCAGGACGGTATAATAGACCCTAGGCCTGATACCACAACTCCGCCACATTCTGCATGCATGGCCTCCTTACGTGTATGAAGCCAGATGAAGTGGCCATCATCGATATATGTAGGCGACTTCGGTGGTTGGAATATGATGTGGCTTAAACTTGAACCCATCTGCTCACCTCATCGGCATCATCACTAACTACCCATGCTGGTGGTGGCGAGCGCTAACGATCTTGCGTTCTTGTCGTAGTAGACAAGAACAACAACTACTTGAAACATTCGCTGTTCTGGTACATCGTTCTTACAGGCTTAATCGTTACACTAAGTATGGCCCCTAGAAGTAGGTCGAGGTCTCGGGAAGCATCAAATAGGAGGTGGTAAACTGCGGTATAGTAGTGTGTTGATGTAATCATGTAGGCGTCACTCTAGACAGAGTTCATATGATGATGGGAAGACGAGAGAGCATGAGCCTCGTAAGTACCGGAGCTACCTTTAGTCCAACAGCCCTCTTAAGGTGCCCGACGACGTGATCTATCACTGGGAAGGAGGTCACCCTCTCCTAAGCATACCAGTAGTAGTGCCAAGAGGTCCCGTCGTCGATCCTCTAGTGTGGACAGAGCAGAGCACCGCCATAGAGGAAATAGAGAGTAGTACTTCCTTCTCGGCCTCACTGCTCCATAGTGATGGTCTTCAGTGGATCGCGACATCCGAGGAGAAGGAGAAGTCGATCTCGTGATGGCAGCCCTGGTAGACGACGAGACCATGCTCGCTCACCAATAGGGCGCAAGAGTAGAAGCCGTAGCGGCAGTCGTGGACGTGAGTCGTACAGCTATTGTCTTGATCGCTATTGATACATATCACAGCATGTCTATGAATACCCTCGATGGTAGGTTATGAGGAGGATAGACGTCGTCATCATCGCGGGTCCCGACGCTCTAGAAGTCCACTATCGGATAGTAGACCTCGGGGGGAGAGGAGGGATTCTGATGATGAGGATGTTCAGAGGAAGGGAGAGGTAGTCATGCAGTGGTGACCTCCTTCTAGCATTGCTATACTGTAGGGGTCGACGAAGCATCGTAGGCATCAGCAACCAGTGGTGCCTCCCACCAAGTCGAATGAATATGAAAGGATTAGTGCATCGAGTGGTTGGTGGATGCATAAGGGTGGTCATTGGCGTTGGCATCAAGATACTAACATGTACTTCAATGGAGATGATAACCAGTAAGGCTGCTAACAACAACAGCATCAAGAGAATCCTCTCAAGGTATTATCATATATCTTTGAGTACTGGGCGGTGCCGTCTTATACGGGATAAGGCTGATCCTTTATTTGAGGAGATGCAGAGGTGTGAACGGGAGAGGGCTAAATGTAGTATTAATATAAGGTGAGAGAAGTTCACATGGTGGTGGCCTCTATCAGCACTGGAAGAGGCTAAGACGTCATCTAAAGTCGATCCAGACTTTGTGGATTGGGAAGAGGCACAGAAGCTAGCATCAGGGATGAAGGTAACGGCTGGGGGGAGACCCAGTGAGCTCAGTGGTGTGCTTAGAAATCCCTGGAGGAGAGGTCATCAATTAGTGAGAATGCTGTTACCAACGATGTAGTAAATGATGATACTAGTTCTCCTACAGCAGCTGTTCGGAAGACGGCATCACTAAGAGAGTAGGTGTATTGAATGAGGAGTGCATCTGGAGTATGCTGCCTCGGTTCAGTTACAAGATCGGTAGAGTTGCTAAGTTCGACCAAGCACGTGGGTTCGGCTTCATATACCGAAGCTATGAAGACTCTCCATCACCATCACAGAAGCACCACTTTGAGGACGATGAGGTGTGTTCTGATGATAATATATGCGGCAATCTTGGACCAACAATCATCGGCTCCGAATGACCATTACTACTGAGACTACAACCCTGGCTCATGTGTCTTCCCCGCCGCTACTAGAGGTCTAAGCATTGGGGAATACTTATTAGGTACTCTTTGTTCATCGTAAAGGCATTGCTGGTAGTACTCTAGACAAACCCCTTAACTTGGACCCAGGCGCACCTGTGAGGTAGTAGCCACTCATGAGGGTGGAGCTCATCTATCTTCGGATTACTATGAGGTATTTGGTGTCGTCGGAGAGGGAATCAGCAGCAGCGGTGAGCTCTACCAAGACGCGAGACCAAGCAGTAGATGTCAGCATGCTCTCTGATCCTACTGATGTTGATAGTGTAACGTCAGCCTTACTATGTATACGAACGACAAGTGAGATAGATTCTTCCGATACACGATCCGGAGCATTGCTCCGACCCTAATGATTCCAAGGCTGCTAAACTGTCCAATAGCCTCTTATCTCATGGTGAGAGTTGGCCTGGCCTGAAGAAGACTCTCCAAGATAGGACCATCGTTGGTGCTAGTCTGGATGCATTTGGTGATATCATCTACTGCTTTCTAATTGGTGATATTCCTCTAGGTATGCTCTATGGTGTATTCGATGGTCATGGTGGCTCGAGTGTTGCTGATATATTGGTAAAGGAAATGCCTAGGAAGTTGCTATTCCAGTGATCATAACACCATCGTCGTCGCGTGTATCACTACGGGGTATAGGTTCAAAGCGGCGCAGCTACAGCCTACCTCACCATCGGTGGATATCGCAGCGGCGATCACTGCAGCTTTCCAACAGGTCGATAAAGACATCTTGGATAGTTGTGAACGGAAACCCCAATTACAGCCCCAGGGATCTACTGCTACTATATTCATAGTCAATGTAAAGTTGCCATGACTGTCTAGTGAGTAACCCTGTTCAACCGCTCAGTATTCTACACCACCGAGGATGATAATTGCATCTGTTGGTGATAGTAGGGTAATAAGAGCTTACTAGCAGTGTTCATCCGATCAACTCCAGCAGGCCGTCCTGTGCCGCGATGGTAGAGCTATAGTCCTCACTCGGGATCATAACCCAGACGATCCTATCGAGAAGTCAAGGGTAGAGAAGGCTGGGGGGCAGATAATGCTGGTCCAGGGAGTTGCTAGAGTGTGTAATAATTAGTGTTTATCACGTAGTGTATCATCTGATGATTATGGATATATAGGCACCTCTAAAACTAAGAGGGTCATGCAGGGCTTGGCTATGACTCGTAGCATTGGGGACTACTTTTTCAAACGCCCTCATGCTTTATCAATCCCCGATCCGGATGTTCAAGTGAGCAATATGACCTCACAAGTGGATATCAGCAATCGAGTAGATACTACCATTGGATCAGAAGGATTGCTTTGTCCTCTTGACGAGTGATGGTATATTTGAGAAGACTATGACTAATGACCAGGCTATAGCATTAGCAGCGGAGAGACTGAAAGCAGAGGGCCCAGAGGGTGCAGCTAAAGTTGTCATACGAAATGCGTAAGAAGTTACTATCACTACCACCACACTAGTATCGGGGTATGCAGGTACAGCCAAGGTTCGGAGGATAACCTAACTTGTATATGCGTGCAATTTGATTGGCATGATACTAAATCATTGGATGTAGGGAAGCTGGGGTGACTCTTGTGGTAATGATGGTTTATTAGGTAATGCTAAAGCGAGCGAAGGCTAATGCTACATCTGCTATCGTCCCTATACCCTCAACAGCTGTGGAGGATGATAGTTTTGATATGTTTGCTTGACAATGGATAGTGTATTGGATATCAATGGTGGTTTGGCATAATGGTGATCTTTGGCATCTGGACAAGTCTACCACTAGTACTACTTATTCTATACGGGCTCATTGCATTGGAGGAGTGGCGTGGGCACAGGTAGCAATAGTAGGAGTTGCCGTGGTGGGGAAGTAAATCGAGCATTGTATTCGTTATCATAACATGAATAGAAATATTACAGTATCCTCGTTTAAACAATTGAAGTAACGAGTCGTTGCTCTAACGTTTGTCAGTTTTCCTCTACTCCAGCGCCGCCCGCCCTTGCCACTACTGCTGCTGCTGTTGGAGCCCTATCGGATGACGATAATAAAATGACTTGAAGCCATGCCGATCATTGTTACGTACGGCATAATATGGTCAGCTGCTGCTGTTGTTGATCTTACTTTGATCGTTGTTATTGTGATCGTTGAGACTATAGTGGAATACAAGGCCGGACTCTTTGGGCTGGCCTATGGTGATGTCGTCGTGTTGTTGTGTGGGAGCATTCAGAGCTCTACCAGCACTGTTCAGGCTTGTGACCTCATCCCTCTTACTATTGTAGGTTACCATTGTATAGTTATCCCCTGTATCATCTCCTGGCCAGTATTCTCTATTGGAAGCCAATCCTTACTATGTTGGTAGTGATGATAGTGGTAGTGGTGGTTGGAGTATTATTATCACAATATACTATTACTATATCCTATGCGGCCCTGGGAATGATCTACGATGCTCACCAATATCCTAGTACTTATCGTAGTGATTATTGTTCCTTCACTATTCCTTTATTGCGTTTTTCCAATTCGAAATGTAGGGTCATGGCTTCACGAATGGCACCAGCTCAGATTAACAGCATATGGAGGACGAGCCTCCAAGTGTGAGGGTATTGGAGTACCTGTGTGGGCTCTGTAGTAGAGAGTCAGAATCTTCAGAGGACACATCAGCTTCGAGATTAAGACATGTCTGAAACCTCAACTGATATAGAGGCAGTCCACATTAGCTAATGAGGGAGTTCAGATACACTCTGAGACAGCTGTTCGAAGTAGCCTTCAATTGTGGAGGAATCATTCCTCAGGAAGGTATGTACCAGGTAGTCCTCCTCCTTCGACGACCCATCCGCGCGTTCATTAGTCTGACATCTCATCGGTCACTTGGCCCACCAATCTTCTATTAGAACATTCATCGTCATCTGAGAATTATCATCCGTGTACTGAGGAGCCACATGTGGTAATCATCGAAACATTATGTATGTTAGAGGAGGAGTTCAGTAGACTACCTTCGACAATTGATGTATGTCTCATTCTCCCCAGGAAGTTTTGTGGCGCGCGGTCCTTAGTCGCACTTAGTTACTTGAGTTATAGTGACTAAAACACGGAGCTTGTATGAATTCAGTTAAATCGTGCCAAGTGGCCCTTTTTGTTGAGTTGATCCATCAAATCAAAGCGGGAGATATACTGCCGTACATGACTGGACCTGGTATTGATCATGCCGGTGCGTCCCAACCTGAGACACCAAGGTAGAAATAACCTGAGCCATACCAATATCAGTCGCAAAGCTACTGTTCACTGGCTCTAAACGAGAGTTTATCGAAGAATGAGGAACTCGAGGAGCAACACGAGGTGGCAAACGCTGATTATTCCGCCCATTCACCGGTCTACCTCGGCCAGATGAGTCACCCCTTGAAGGATCGTCAGTGGTGTGGGGAGGATCAGGAAGATTATGAGCATGGGAAACATAATCCTGGTTAGAAGCACTAACACGTTCACCAGCTTCAGTCAAACCAGAATTCACCACAGTAGCTACACCTAGCTGGTCATCACCAACACCAGCAACATCGGTTTCATCACCAATCGAAACAAAATCATGACTCTGAGCGATCATACGCTCAGTAACCTCATTACGGCGAAGTCTACGCTGAGCACGCTCAGATTCCATCATAGTATCAGATAAGGCGTCGGTCTCGAAATTCATTCTCGGATGATTCTGTCCGTGCCCGACTAGATGCAGTAGTTGCTCAGTCGGGGTTATCGACGGAGTCGGTTGTTGAACCTGATGATGGTATTGACTTTGCAAACAAGTATTATTCGCTTCGTAAGTCCCTCTTATCCTGTTACTTAGACGCTATTGAAATCACGCGCCTTCGAAGAGAATGGCATAGTTTGGAGATGAAACCACAACAGCCCTTCTCCGAGTTCTCTGACCGGATTGACGAGTTGTGTGTTGGACTTTCACTGGTAGGCTCAACAGTGTCAACTGATGAGGTTTGGGATAAACTGATTACCCAATCTTGTTCTCCGTATGATGATATGGCTCTTATGTATTAATTACAAGGTACAAGTTTGATGTTGGCCCGTTCATATTTGGTATCTCGCGCTAAATTGGTACAACAGCGCTCACAGTCTGCTGGAGTGGCTTTAGAAGCTACTCGCATTCCCTTTGACTCTTTGGCGAGTGCTGCGGAAGGTGTCTCGAAGTCTGGTGGTCATGGTGACTCGGCTAAGAGTGTTACTGGGAAGGTGAATTCTCGTTCTGTGAATCTTAAGCGCTTACCCACCAATGCCTGTAGACGATGTTTCCGGGAAGGTCATCTTGCTGATGCTTGTGATAGTGAGATGCCTACAGATATATCTCTCCGATGTCTTGGTTGTGGTTTTTATGGCCATAAATTGTCTGATTGTCGTATGGCTAAGTCGAGGAAGTTATCGTGTAAACGTTGCTCTGGTATTGGACATATGTCTTATATCTGTAGACAAGACCGAGTTGTTGAGTCTCAGGAAAGAAGGTCTGCTGATCTCACTAAGAGTGAGGAGAAGTCCGTTCCTGCTGATGGAGATCAAGGTGATAAGAAGAAGTCAGCCCTTCTCTCTGTAGTGGAACCTACTGCTCCTGCTGCAAGTTGGTTATCGATCTTGAATTGTACTACTGGTATTGAGGGATTGGATGACGGTCCTCATGATCCGTTGAAAGCTAACGTCTCACTGCGGTCATATGATGTTGATGTGGGTGATTTAGAAGTGTCAGTTATGCTCGATACTGGAGCTGGTAGATCGTTCATCCACAAGTCTGTTCGTGACTCACTGAATTCTGTTTATATCCGTGAGACTCGTGCTATATCTGCATCAGCTACTTTGGCTGATTCAACTGTCATGCGGTTCACTGAGGCTATTCGTGTGACAATTGTGACTCCACAGCCAGCTGGGGCTGAAGCTGGTGTTTGGCTTTTGGTATCTCCTGTGCTCAGCTGCAATTTGATTTTGGGCATGAATGCTTTGCGAAGTTTGTCGCTTCTGGTATTCGTGAGCAGCGATGCAACACTACTGAGAGCCTCTCTGACTGCAGTTGATGTCCGCCGTGCTATTTCAGACAGTGCTACTCGTATAATGACTTGTCAGGATAATCCTCCAGGTGAAGAGCAGCCTGTTGACTCGTCATCATCTGGTTGTGTGAGTCCATTGCCTGACGAATCCTCACCTTCGTGTTGTGATTTTACGTCGCCGGACGACTGCGGAATGCCCGAGTTGCTTTATGACACACAGTTGTGCCGTATAGTTGATGGGCATGATGATGTAGAGGGGTTTAATAAGTTTATATCTGCGACGATGTTGAATTGGGGGAGCAAGAATACACAAGATGATCTTAAGCAGTCACCTGAGTGCGATCTTGCTACCTCTTCTCCTTCGCCTTCAGATGATCAGTCTCCCTGCGCTCTGCCTCCGGTATTCGGTGATGTTGGTTATGGGCAATCTACTGTATTTGTCGGTCTTACACCAGATCGTCATGTTTGCTCTGATGGCAGTACTAGAATGGCACTGCGTTATACTTATGATATTCCATGGTTATCTGATAAGAGACTGCCACGTCCCATGGAAGAAGATTGGGCTCGTCTTTTTAAGAAGGATGCTATGTTGGTACAGAAGCTCAAGAAGGAAGGACATTTTGATGCTTATGATACTGTCTTCCGTAAATATGAAGACCAAGGAGCTATGGTGGAGATTCCTATCAAATCTGATGATTTTGCTCAGATTGATGCTGTAACAGCATTGCTGTTATACCACATTTTCCGGTTTATGCTCCGAGTGCGGTGTCTACGAAGGTTCGTCCTGTCATCAATGGTATTTATTATAGGGGTATCATCGGCAATGGTCGAGGAGATGAAGATCCGAAGGCTAATACTCTCCGTAGTACTATACCCTCTCTCACCGTGTTCCGTTGTTATGAGCACGTGTATTTGAGTGATTTGAAGATGGCCTTTTATCAGCTCGCTAATGCTCCAGCTGCTAAGTATGTTTTTTGCATTGTTTGGAACTCTCGTGTGTTTCGTCTTAGAGGTCCTGGTATGGGGGCACCTCATGCACCATCTTGTTTGCAAGATGCGGTGTGTCGTTTAGGCAAACTTTCGATTGTTAAATTGCCTACTCCTATTTTTAAGAAGCTCGAGTCGGAGAAGTTTGGTCGAAAATGTATCTGTTGGAAACCGTATATGGATGATGTTGTTCTTGGTGCTACTTCACGTTCACTACTTGATGTAGCTCATACGGCTTTCACTTCTGCGTGTGATCGACGAGGTTTTCCCTTCCAGCCTGCTAAGGAAAGAGATCGGCCTCCAGCTGAGGGTGAGAGCTCTGTTAGTGTGTTGGGATATGGGTGGTATCCTCAGGATGTCCTGGGTCCACAACGAGCTTCTCAACAACTTCCTAGTAGAGGAATGTTGCCAGCTAACCCGACATACTCAACAACGACAAGACGTGATATTTTGTCTTTCATTAATGGGCATTATGACCCTCTTGGTTTGTTCAGTAATATCATCCTTGGTATGAGATTGCTGCTCAAATTAGAGCTTCAGAATGATCCGTTTTTGGACGCCTTCGTGTCGTGTGAGTGCTATGATGGAGTACAAAGACTTGCGATGGCGTTTGCTAGTGTTACGCCTGTTCCAAGATTGCTCAGCCCGCCTGTCACTCAGGGTTCAAAGTTTTATATTTTCGTTGACTCCAGCACTACTGCTTATGGTGTCGTTATTACGACTGCTGCTTTTGTACCAGTACGAGCTCTTGCGAGGATGCACCCTTCTCCCCGATCGAAGTGGTCTATAGTTCGAAAAGAGTTGGTGGCCATACTTGCTGGCCTTATGCTCTTCGAGGACTGTTTGAAGGTTTTGTTCTCATCTTGTTTAACCCCTACTACGACGTTGGTTCCTATTGTCTTTACCGACAACTCTGCCAATTTCCACAGGATCCAAGGATTCCTGAAGGGAAAGAGTCTCGACCCCAAACTCCCAGCGTGGGAGCGACGGTCTATTTCTTTTGCCGGGGAGTATCTCTCGCGTGTTGATGGTCAGATTTATCACCTACCAGGAACTGTGAATCCCGCTGATGCTTTCTCGAGAGGGACCATGCTGTCGACACCTATTCATTTGGATAGGAAATTGCATAGTGCGGTTCACTGTGCACTGCAGCTTCCTGGGTATGGTGGTGTTATGTTGTTGGCTGTTAATGAGGACGAGCAGAATGACGATGACCATCATGATAGAGATCCCGGACTTATAGATGAGTCCTGGCTTGAGGATATTAAGCGTTCTCAGAAAGATGACCCATTTCTTGCCCGAATCCTTGTAAAGGATCCAACTGTCTATCTGGGTCGTGTCTGTCGACTCTACGAGGTTAAGGATGGTGCTGTTTACCATGCAGTAACTGGTGGCTTGGTTGTTCCGGGAGCATCATGTCGCAGATTGATTGAGAAGCTCCATACTCTATTTGGTCACATTGGTTTTGCCAAGCTTTATAACTCTACATATCGCATACTTTATCTTGGTCGACTTGCGGATTTTCGTAAAGTCCAACATTCGTGTAAAACTTGCTTTGCCACTAGGGGGCATCGTGCCATACATCACCGCCTTGGTCGCCGACTTTTGAGATCCACAGCTCCATGGGAGTTGGTGGGTATAGATTTATGTGGACCGTACAAGTTTAGCGATGCTGAAGGTGAATCTGAGGCTATGCTTGTGGTGTGTGTAGATGCTTGCACTAAGTTTATGACGGTTGAGGTTGCTCATCACTACTGCAACGAGGAAGAACTTCTGCGCTGCATCCAGAAGATTTGTTATCGTCACGGTTTTCCTCTATGCTTTTATAGTGATTGTGATCGTAGATTTAGCGGAGCTAAACTATGTTCTTGGCTTTATGTCCATGGCCTACAATGGGTCCAGACACCCCCTTATTGTTGCCGACTTAGGGGATGGAATGAAGCACCTCACAAGTTGCTGTTGAGTGTCGTGAGATCACTTATCCTCGATGATCAGGATCAAGGTCGAGTTCGAGTCCCTTGGTACACCTATGTTGATAAGGCCTGCTGGATTGTCAATAATATCTGTAGGAGTGGGTCCAATGTGGATACCTTCTCTTCAGAATTACATTTTACTCATGGTCGTTGCTTACCGCCAGTTATTGGCGATAGACGACTCTCTGATGAGGCAAGACGTTTTATGGCTGGTCTTGGCATATTACCTGTACCATCAGAGCGGGCTCTGTCTGCTTACCTTGACGATTATCGAAAGCTCTTGGTTGATGCTATGGATTTGAGTATAGCTGAGAATATTGATCAGGCCTTACGTTCTCGAGGGGTCTTGGCTGCTGAGTCTGTTGTCAGACGAGATCTTTCTTCTGGTTTCAAGATTGGAGATTTGGTGGTACGCTATAATCATCATGCAGCCAATAAACTGGCTCCGCGTTGGCTTATTGACAAGCCTTACCGTATTACTGCACTTAATGGGAGTGTTGCCCAGTTAGATGGTGGTGAAGATAGCAATGGCAGAAGAGTTTTGACGACGGAGTTTCTCGGCAACCTGAAGTCTATTCCCCAAGAGAATAATGTTAGTGATGAATCAGAAGATGAGTAGTTGTAATCAATGAGTAATGTTTTTGATCTTATAATGTGATAATCGATGCTCAAGTATTTCATGTCCTCTTATTTTCTTTACTTTTGCCGCCCCGGGAGTGTTGCCATCGGACGGAGCGATGCGCACAATACTACGAGCGAAGAAGAGGATGATTCCTAATATTGTGTGATGAGTATCCTTAGGCTATAACTGAGCTATGTAGCTTCGAGTGCTAGCTTGTAGTATAGGTTTGATTATAGATAAGTATAAGTTCTTGTCTTGTTCGGATCCGAGGATCTGTACTTGATTATCTGCTTCTACTACTAAGCTACCTTGGAGTTGGGTTATCATTTGGAAACCTCTCTCTATCTCCAACACTGCACCATCCGGGAATGTCACAGCAGAGAAGATTAATGTGCTTATAAACCGTGGCACTTATGAGGCCAACCATGACTGCTGGCTACTATCGCTTCCTGCTATGAGTGGTACATCTGGCGCTCCAGTAACTCCAGTAGATAGTTCCTGGGCAGCAGGAATGGCCAGGAAATATTTCAGGACCGAACTGTTGTTGGACTCACCATAGGGAAGTGGCATACATCACCAGTAGCATTGCCTCGGAGGACGGTGATTATGCTTATTGATACAGCTTGAGAGTTATGCCCTCTCCACTGTGGTAGTATGAAAGTGTCCCTCTCCGCCGATCATATAGCCCATAGATTGTGGTTATCTAACTGTGGACTAAGGCATGCATACCGATGAACCGATGGAATGGTATGGTATCTCATAAATAACGAGTTAAAGCGGTTTTGCATAATGAACGTTCCAGAAATCCTAGTCAGCCATGGTCTCTCGCGTTAGTACTTTTCCAATTGTCGATGAGATAGTAAGGACCGTCAATGATATGATATGACTTTACATAACAGCGATAACGCCTCCTCCCTTACGGGGCCCTTTATCCTACCTGAAGCTATCATCATTCGTGACATCGTTGTCCTAGGCCTAACACCACAGTTCATCAGGCAACATAACGTTAGAGGTTCTGCTACTACTACTACCCTAGTCAGCGCTGCAGTTGTCGTGTTTAGATAGTGATGTGTTCGTTGTGGTGGCGAGGAAGAGCAATGCCCAAACGTCGACAGAGCCTATAACCCCTCAAACTGTCCGTACCCTTCCGGCATCGGACCCAGTAAAGGCATCAACAGCATATACTACAGGAGGCATGCGATTGGAGTGAGTTCAGTATGACGTTGGAGAACGCTAGAAAAGACCTCATGGAATGCACTTCAATACACCTTGTATTAGCATGCTTTACTACCCGTATGCTACTCTCAAAGACAGTACTAAAATGGCAAACAGAGGCTATCGATTTGAGCTGCGCTACACAGCTGTTCTCTAGTATAAGAGACCTACATCCAGTAAAGAACACTGATGGCAATGGGCACCACCTCCGCCTCGGCTGTCGTATCTGTATCTGGCCACCGGGATCAGTCATTCCCCATATCACACCGGTCTCTGTTGATACAGTAGGAGTCGCTAATGGCAGTACGGCTTCGGGTAATCAATTGGCATGTGTTAAGTGTATACCTGGAGTAGAGGGGAGGATGATTTGTAAGGAGTGTCGAGGTACTAGTGAAGTGTTGTTACTGCTTGCTAGATCGACATAGGTTCGGGTGCATTACGGTGCTTGTCCTGTTATGGTATTGCCATGTTGCCCTGTCCGAACTGTCACCATGGCTCGGGATTGAAAGTAAAAATAGTCGGTGGCGGGAGGCTTACATGCCGGTGTCAGCTTAGAACTGTAGCAGCTGTGAACTCCAATGATTCCTCGGCCACAGTGAGAGTGACGGAGCGCTGTGAATGCTGTGTTGGCACTGGAGAAGTGTAGTCCTTGCCTATTCCTAAGTGTTCTCACCTAGTCTCAGGTGTTGTCCGATGTGCATGGGTGTCGGTGAGCTTCGTTGCCCTCAATGTTTGGGTGAGGGTGACGGCCCATGTGAATGTAGGATGGAATCGTTCTTGTAGCTACAGTCGCTGTTCTCGAGTTGGGTTAGTACAAGGGCTTTCTGCAGGCCTCCCAGTACTTGTTGCCATGCCCACATCGTCATCATCTCTTGGTTGTAGCGTTATCACATCCAGGAGGGCTAGCAGATGAGTCCTCAGATTAGTTATCTAGGACTGGTTGGGACCGGTTGTGCAATCCGACTGAGCCCGATACGATTTGAGTAACTCGTAGTTCGCTACCATCATGACAAGTTTAGTAACCATTATCTTCGGCCGAAAGTAGATGCTAGAACTTCCTATTCTCTCATGGTGATTATAACGAAAAACTAGAGAAGTAGGAAATAACTTTCATTCCGATGTAGTCTAGCTGGTTAGGATTCGTGGCTCTCACCCACGCGACCGGGGTTCGAGTCCCCGCATCGGAAGTTTTTGCACGATTCTCATACTCTCATATGCAATGCCACATCCCCAGTGAAGTAAAATTGACCGCCTTTCACCGGATTTCCGTCATTTTCCGTCAGGACTTTCATCCTGATGCTATCTTACGATGATTACACTCATACTAGCCGATGTAGTCCATATATTCAACTCGTGTTCTTTGTTAGCGTGGCTGTCTCCTTTTGTGTGTACGCTAGAATGAGGTTAGCTAAGATGAGAGGCGATGCAGTGCATTATAACCATCGCGTAGTTGCTTTTATATTCCTTCTAACTTCCTTTAACAATGAGCGACAAACAAAGCGTCGTAAGTATGGGCGTTCTTGGACGTCCTGATGGATCCTCTCATTTCCGCAGTATCGTCAACTACTGTCTAATTGCTATCGGCGTTGGTATCTTGGCATTGCCTAAGGCCATCGCCCAAGCTGGTTGGATAGTTGGGGTGCTGTTACTGATACTAGCTGCTGGGCTTGCTCAATATGCAATGGTTTTGCTGTACAAGAGTATGCGTATTACCGCGGCTGATGGCATCTCTCCAACCTTCCAGGCTGTTGGTAAGGACGCGTTCGGTGTCGTCGGTATGGTATTCGTCTCCTTTGTCGTATACCTCGATCTAGTGTTCGTGTGTGCACTATTGGTTATTCTGGTTGGAGACGGTATGGAGACTTTGGTACCTTCGGTGGATACATTCTGGTGGAAGCTTATCTTCACTTTGATTATGCTTCCCCTCTCGTGGTTGCCTAGCTTGAAGGAAGTAGCGTTCGTCTCTGCCATTGGAGTAGGAGCTACTATCGTCACTTGTATAGCGGTTGTGGGGGCTTCGGCTCGTGAGATTGCGGAGCCAATAACAGAGAAGACTCATAGCGTCTGGCCCCTATCACTAATGGATGCTGTTGTAGCTCTGACCAACTTCTTCTTTGCTTTCACCGTCGCACCCGTTATCCCAACTCTAGTGGTTGATATGAGGAAGCCTGAAGATTTCCCTAAAATAAGCGGAATCGCACTCATTGTCATTAGTGTTGTCTTCGCTATCATCGGTTTTGCTGGGTATCTTGGTTTCGGTACGGATCTTGTTACTTACCCCAACATCAGTGAGGCGATAGCCCATGGCCGATCCTCTAATGACTGGTTGTTGATCATTGTTGAGGCTGCTATCGAGGTGGTGTGCTTCAGTCACTTCTTGGTCATGCTCAATCCAGTCAGTATTGCCCTTGAGGATGTCATCAAAGTGGTCAGTAAGAAGCAGAGTGTTCCTTGGTGGTTTAAGATTATGGCTCGCTCTTTGTTGGTATTTTTCTGTTTCGCTATTGCTGTATTGATCCCAGCATTCAGTAAGTTAGTGGACCTTATCTCTGCCACTCTCTGTGTGTTCCTCCAATTGATATTCCCCGTTGGCTTCTATTGGGTCCTTACGAAACGTAGCGGCGAGAAAGCCAAGGTTTATCGCAATAGGTGGTTTAAGTATGGCGAATATGCTGTAATGCTATTCTGCATTGTACTTGGTGTGTTCAGTGGTGTAATTGGCACGTGGTCCGTTATCTCTAGTTGGTAGGAATAGTTCCTATCTCGAATGAAGTGTCATCATTCGTAATCGGTGTCTGATATTCAACATTTTCCCTTATACTCTCCCAAGTCTCTATGAGTCTAATGAGAGTGTCATTATGGTCATAAAACTCGATTCGTACACGATCCTATATTTGGATTGTCGCAGTCGAGTCCACTAGTTATCCCTCCTCTGCGAGCTTCACTATATCGTGCCTCGCCTTGTTTTTCTGTTGAGGTATATCGTGACGTGTGAGGGATGACCTTCTGCAGTTCGTCCATCCTTGGTGAACTAGCGTCAAACTGACTCTATCTACTGATTTAGCCTCATGTAGGTGGAGTCTATCGTATACTTGTCATTCATGTCGTCTAACATTTGTCGTAATAAGTCAAATGTGTTGGTACTCTGCAGAATACTCAAATCTCTACTAGTATAGGTTGGTCCATTTAACTCGAATCTAAACATACGATGGAAACATATGTGAACAATGTGTTGTTTATTATGGTCCCCAAAAGTGCTACAAAAAATAGCACTTGTTATTATTCCACGCGTCACTATATTGTGATAGCGTTGTTACATTCTCTCTCGTTGTTGTGGCAGTCGTAATCAATGCTGCTCAGAGCTGATGCTATGCTCCGAGCTCGATGAGTGTGGCATCTCTTACCGCAATCACTGCTCATTCTGCTGTTATATCTGAAAGTATTACCATTACTAGTTTTGTTGTGTTAGTAAATGAAACAGGCGAATCCCACAGGCAGGATCAGGTTAGTTTAAACAAGGTGTGAACACTAACAGTTCTTCTTGCATACCGTC